TGGTGATGGTAATGCTGTAATATGATAAAAGTATATGAGTGAAATGAAGTAGGATGAGTGAGAGAGAGAGAGAGAGAGAGAGAGAGAGAGAGAGAGAGAAAGAGAGAGATGAAGATAGTTCTTATTCATTGAAATGTGAAAGTAGAATTATAAAGAAATTGCAACGTGACCTACAACCCCACTGGACCTTTTACATGAGGGAAAAGATGAGATGATAAAGATAATGATGATGATATAAGAGGAAGAAAGGGGAGAGGTAGAGAGCATCATCATCACAGAAAGAAAGAAAATGTAAAAGTAAGAGGAAAAGACTTTTCTTCATCTGATCGATAATATTAACTTTTCAACATTAAGTCAATATCATTTTTCCAGTTAAGTATATAAGATGAAGATGAAGATGATAGAAAGATGAAAAAGAAAAAGAGAGAAAAGGAAACAGGTAACCTTTTATTGCTTTTAAGTATTTTTACCTTTTAGCATCTTTAACACCCATCTATCTATCTCTCTCTCTCTCTCTCTCTCTCTCTCTCTCTCTCTCTCTCTCTCTCTCTCTCTCTCTCTCTCTCTCTCTCTCCTTCCACCCACTTTTCATCATCATCATTATCATTCTCATCGTATGGACAAGCATTAAACATGGTAAAAGCCTTTTCTCTTTTATATTCTCATCCTTTCTTTTTCTTTCTCTTCCTCTTCTTCTACATTTTTATCTCATTATCAGAAATCCTCTGAATTCACCGATATCCGGTTCTTATACTAACTTCCCTTTTCCAAGTAACTACTTCTCCTAACTGTAAGTTTCACTCTTATATATTATGATAGAAGATTAAATAATATGAGATTGCTGTAATATCAATATTAACCTTGTAATTTGACCAGAAAATGAAAACAAATTAACTACTGGAGATAAACAACTGACCGAGACTAGAAAAAGGTATGAAAACCAAAAGGATAAACTGATTAACATCATGACCAAGGAAACTTGTAGCTCAATCAGGTAAATGGCCAATAATAAGAAGGTGGTAAGTGAGAGAGAGAGAGAGAGAGAGAGTATCAAGGTAGGAAAATACTCAACTACCTGTGTAACTAAACTGATACCCTGGTAACCTGGTAACATGTAAATTAGATGAGAGAGAGAGAGAGAGAGAGAGAGTTCTAACAATTTAATTCCTCGAAAAGTACAGTTAGAGTAGTTGATTCACATGCTAAACAGATTAACTTAATTGTTGATTTAACTTTTGCATTATAATTACTTTCTCTTGGCAAGATAATAATATATATAAATGTTGGACATTGGATTAAAGTGAACTGACCATTTCTGTCCAGTTGATTGGTTTTACTCCCTTCTATCACCAGTAAATACAACATGAGATTAATTTACTCAATCAATTGAAAACTTTTTTTTCATTTCACTAAAGTGTGTTGGTCAGTTTGTAGATATTTATTGTATTACAACTAATGGACAGTTCTAATAGTGAGAGATACTCAGGGTTATAATGAACAAACTAAATTGAACCAGTTCAAACAATTAGTTTCTATTTAATCAACTCTAATTAATATTAAATAAGAATCAATTTAAACCGATAATAATTAAGTTAATGGTCAATTATATATTAGTTTACATAATTATAATCATTATTTTCAGCATCAGTTTGCTTAATGATGGTTCATCATTTAGGTTAATCTGTGAACAATTTATCTTAACTCACCTTAATGGTTTACCCTTATTATTTACTAAATTTGGACAATTAACTGACCAAAGAAATGAAAACAATAACAAACAAACAAACAATTACAAGGGAAATGATTATAATCATTATAAGGTTAAATCATTTTGCACATTGATGATTATCTTCATGATGATGATAATATTACCGTTAACTCCCACTGGATATGATGATGAAAATAATAATAGCTATACAATGATTAACTTGATTAGTGATAATATGTCAACATCATAATCATAGTGTTAATTGTTATGAAACACAGTTGACAACAATTAACTTATTGGAGCGACGATTAATCCTTGTAGGTGAATTTTTCTTTTAATACTTTTTGCTTGTTCAATTTTCTCGTTAAATTATTCCGATTGGAATTAAATTTTATCTCTGGTTCTGATTGATTATCGTATTGTGATCATATTATTATTAACCTTTGGAAAGTTATCATTTTGTGTCTAGACTTTTTTTCATGTTCATATTTCCATCCAAACTTTCATGATCTTTTTATTACTATTATGATTATCGGAATTCTGGTTGAATTATGAGAAAGAATTGATTCTCTGGTATTGGGATTAGAATTTATTATTATTTTCAACTACATTGATTGTGACCTTAATCTGTTGATTGTTAGTCTTTCGCAACCTTTGGTAAAGTTAATCTGATCAGATTGTTTCTGATGCTTATTATTATTATGATGATGATGGTGATGATCTGAGTGATGATAATGATTGATGATTGAAGATGAAATAACTATGATTTCGAGGAGTATATCAAAAAAAATGATGTTCAGTAGATGATATAAGTTATTACCATCATTATCTACTAAAAGGTACTAAGGTCAATAATTACGGCGATTTATGAGTTTCTATGAAAATGTACACATAAGATATTAGTTGTCTATTTATTAAAAAAGATGACCAAGAGGATAGAAAAGTATTAAGAGAGAGAGAGAGAGAGAAGATGAAAAGGAGTTGAGTGGGTAGTTTTATGTATTGTTCATTAAACCGAAAGAGAAAAGAGTGAGGGAGAGAGTAATGGTCAGTCCATTGTAGTTTATCAATTGACCAGAATCTCATACCACCATTTTCGAGTACAATATGATTTTAGGTAATAATGAAAATAATATAACTTGACATGAAAAGATGAATGAAATGTTTAAGGTGAAGAGGTAAAAATAAGCAGAGAGAGAGAGAGAGATAAAGATGAGGAATAAAGATTTTGTGGTCAATAAATGGGTGATAAATGATTACTGGTCATGATGATACTGACCAGTACAACTTTACTAGCAAATAAAGATACAACGAATAGTAAAAGAGTGAGAGAGAAAATCTGAAAAAGATGATGAGAAGGCTAAAGATGAAACGATTTCAAAATGATAAAGATAAAGTGTACTTTCATGATGATGGTGATGGTGAACATGATGATAATCATTTTCTTTATCTTCATTGAGTTCTTTAAAGATTCTTATCATACGTTAAGAATCCCTGGAGACATTAAAAACTTTTTTTTTCTAACAACCTGAATAACCATGATGGTGGAAAGACATGATAGAATGAGGAAAAATAAGACATTTCATGAAATCACCATGAAAAGAGTAAAAGAAAGACCATGAAGATGATGACTAAAGGTGGATGATAATGATGTGAAAGAAGAAGCAGAAGAAGAAGGAAAAAGATGAAGAGATTGATTTCATGTGATTAAATAGCTTTCAATCGATTTTTCTACCTTTCCAACTTTGTCTCTCTCTCTCACTCACTCACTCACTTCATTTGCTCATCTTCATGAAATGAATCACCACCGATGAATATTTATCCATCATAGAAACGATAATCATAATGAACAATCAATTAACCAATTGAGATTCTGACTGAATTCATGATTTATCGTTGACGTTGTTTAATAGTCAAATTATAATCAATAAAATTGATTTAACCAGCGAGAGGTTAATATGATTATTATCATGAATGAAAATTTATCTCACACAGAATCTATTAACCTATTATAATAGTTGCACTCAAACAGAGATAATTTCAAATTCCTAATGAACTCGAAAATCATTAACTAAATTCAAATGATCATCATGAAAACCAGAAACATTTTTTTATATTAATACAAATAAAAAAAGATACAAAATTGAAAGTTAATCTTTCACATGATTCAGTTGTTCATCTTGATGGAAAGTGTTATGAAATTATCACGATTAAATGATATGTGATGATAATCGTTCTTATTGTTTATTTATATCGACGAAAGAACAACAAAAAAAAAGTTTCTTGTTATCACTCAGGTAAAAGATCTGAATGATTATTACTAAGAGAAATGATGAAGATGATGAAAGAAGAAGAGAGAAAAGAAAGAGAACAAATAAATCGTAATATTTGCCTCTTCATCTCTCAACCACTCCTTCTCCATCCTCATCATTTTTTTCCACCTCCACTTGACTGACATGATTGTCAGGAGAAATTGGAAGAAGCAAGAAAAGTAGAAGGAAAAAAAAATTCTTTTTTTTTCTCTACTTTCATTTTCTTTTACAATATGTTATCAACAATTTCTTCCCATTATTAGGTATTGATACATTTTTCCTTTTATCTTCTTCATCATCATCAGCATCATATTAGTTTATCATGTCTACCTGTGGAAAGAATGATGAAATTTCCTCTTCTAATGATGAAGATAAAATGATTATCATCATCATCATCATGACATAATCAAATTGTCATAGGTAATAAAATGAAAACTATACCAGAGGGTAAATTAGTTTTGTTTGTGAGACTATCATGATGATACTGATGATGAAAGAGACAAGGGAGTTGAAGGATGACACAGGTAAGAGGGTGGGGCTGGTTATCTGATATTGCATACTTTGAGTTTATTACAGATAATATTTGATAACTTTGAATAAATTGACTTGTAAATATTGATAACTTTTTACCCTCCTTTTCATATGAAACTGTAACTCTCTGAGGACAGAATTGAAAATTACATGGTAAGTATACATTGAGTTACATATGAATGAAAATTTATGTATTCAGAGAAAGAAACAAAAAAAAACTTTCTTTTTTTTGTTCTTTTAACAAGTTCGAGAAGAAAATATCAAGTTCGAAAAGTTTTTAATAATTTATGGTTTTTCTCCGTCTTGTTATTAATATTATTTTCGTCGTTAATATTATATTTATATATTGAGCAGAAATTTGGGTTTTGGAAACTTTGACTCTTGGATTCTCAGAAATTTTTCTACTTTTTTGTCTGAAAAAGAAGAGGAAGTCAAAAGACTCATCTTACCTGTTCTGATGGTATTCTTGGTAATGCTCGTCCAGTGCTTGACCGGCGGGGGAAACAATCCTTGAGGGTTAAATGGTGATTATCGACAGCACCATTGTCCACCAATACTGAAGGTATGGATCGCCTTTGGGTTGGTAAAGGTCCAATTGTTGCTGGTGTAAAGAGAGAAAGGAAAATGTTTAAATATTTTCTGATGAGATTGATGATCAATATTATGGTGGAAAGAAATCAGAATGAACAAAAAAAAGAATTGATGATTGAAAGGAGGAAATTATTTCATCATCTTCATGATCAACTTTAGCTATTTATCGATAGATCGAACTGCAAGTGAAAAAAAAAGAAAAAAAAAGTTTTCAAATTTTGGGAGAAGAAAAAATTGTAATAATAATATTCTTGCTGGTGATGATATAACCATAGAGAAAAGTTTGTGAACCATGATGATAATTTAACATGGAAACATAAATAATACACATGATTTAGAATGAAATAAAATCGTTGATAATCATGATAAATAACATGATGATGAAGGTAAAGGTAAATAAAATGTGTGACATTCAAGAAACCAGAAAATGCAAAAAGGTAATAAGATGAAGACAGAAAAGTTTGATGATGTAAATGCAAGGATGATGATAACGAATGGAAGAGTGAGAGCGAGAGAGAGAGAGATGAAGATAAGAATGTAAATATCAATCAATATATATTCACAACCAGGAAAACTAGGTAACTAGTGATAAACATAATCATTTGGTGGTAAAAAAAACTAGGTGACAATGGATTTACCTATTGGAACTGAATCAATTCCAGTGTAAATATTAATACATCTGAACAAATTATCAGAATCAATAAGAAGTGGGAATGATTTGATTCACTTTAACTTGGTATCATTTTACAGCTACATTGATGATAATGATGATAAATATATTAATATAACATTGATTATGATGATTAACTTGAAAGGTTGAGTTGCAATTTTAGTGTATTAATATATCAATTATAGTAATAAACATTTCATTGTTTGTGACTCATTAAAAAGGTAAGTATATTATCATCATTATTATTATTATCAAATCAACGGTGGCTATCATCATGTGTCTCATTGTGAGTATATAACATGATGTTGATTAATACATTGAATTGATAGACTGAACCTCATCATCTTTTAGATGATGATGATTGTAGGAGTTATAATGATAAGTGATAGTGAGTTAAAGTTATATTGATAAAATTATCTCTATTATTGATATAATAATAATAATAATTGTGATGATAATGAGGGTGAAAATGATGATGATTCTTATATTATTGTGTCATCATCTTCTTCATCAGTTTAGTTGATGATGATGATTAAAACTGGAAAGGAAACAGAATCATTATCATCATTACAAATACTTGATAATGATAATAATGAGTTATCATCTTTTATATTTCTCTACCTTATATATTGATTGAGTTATAATATGCCGAGTAGATGAAGGATGAAGATGATAACGGTTTTCTGGATGATGGTTCTGTTGATAATTTAGTATTGATAATGAGGATGGAGAAGGTGATAAATGTGTCAAGATGATGATGATTGGAAGAGGGAGAAAAGGATAAGGTTGATTGTCGAGGTAAGTAAAAGGTATCACAAAGTTTACACTTTCTGATGGCTTAATGTCAACATGAGCTACGCTTGGTGGTTGATTATGACCTGGAAAATGAATAAAAATTAGGCGAAGGGGAGTAAAAAAAAGTTCCAGAGAGAAAGAGAGAGAGAGGAAGAGTTGGAGGAGAAAAAGTTCTTTGATTCATTTTCGTAATTTTTTCACCATCATAATAATCTCATGAGGGTGGTAAGTTTTTTTTTCATTCTTTCAACTATTTTTCTCTTGCTGTTTCTTCATCATCATTATACAATATAATGATTCTGAGAAAGACATCACGGAAGTGGAAATCTAATCATCGTTATTGTGACTATTATTAATTATTTGCTTCAAGAAAAGAGAGTGAGTGAGTGAGTGAGTGTGTGTGTGCATGAGGAGTAAAAGTATAAATTGTGAGGTGGAGTTTTGAGTTTGATTGTTTTGCTTTTTGTTTCTGTTTTTTGATTGAGTAAAAATGTTATGTACTCACGTAATCCAAGCATATCTGAATCTGCTGATTCTCTTGGTGATCTTGAAAAATCGGGTGATGAGGGTGACATTGATTCCTGAGGTGGGGAGGGTATACGAATATCTGAAAATTCTGAAGACTGTGAATCACTTTTACGTCTGTTAAGGTCAGTTGTTGATGGAGTATACAAAGCAACATCAGAGGCAATATGACGTAAACCATTAAGATTACTGTTAGTATTTGATGAATTTAGTCCTCCCCCACCATTACCACTGCTTCCACTGTTAATTAAATTGTTCATATTATGATGATAGTTAGCATTATTCTCATTATAAATAATTGGTAAATTGTAAATGTTATTATTATTATTTTGATTGTTTCGCTTTGTTATTCCTACTCCTCCAATCCTACCACCAGGTTCCCATGATGATGAACTTTCTGAACTATTGATTGCACCATAAGAAGCACAGATTAATGGATTAGTTGAGCCTAACATATTGTTGTTGTTCGTGTTGCTGTTGGGATTATAATGAGAGGAAATTACTGAGGGTGGGGTTGGTGTATTAGTTAAACTGCCGCCGGGTTATACTGAAGGTGATTATGTGGATTTTGTTGTTGATTATGTAAATTTGATGGATCACAGAGTTCATCTGGATTAACCAGCTTACGAGCACTTTGATGAACTGACCGTGACCGTTGAGATCGACGTCTTTTCAATGTACTAAGATCACTATTGGCTCCAAATTGTTGTGAACTGTCCAATGTTGTAGAGTCCATAATGTAATCTTCGAGTGAACTATCTGAGGCTGAAAACGATTTTCCTAAAACTCGACCTGAAGATTGAATAGTCTCGTTTGGTAGAGCAGAATGATTTGGGTTGATCATCATATTGTTACCTGTCAACGGTTGATTACCAATAATGGGTAATAGTCCATCACGAGATCGAAATTGATCAATTTCGTTACGCTTTAGACCATCGCTCATTGCGGAGACACTTCGAATAGCCTCATCAGAGGTTCTTCTTTCATCTAAACCTTCAGCTGAAGAATATCGAGTTTTAGACACTACGATTGAAGAGTAACGTCTCTGAGGCTGTTGTCCGGTCGTTAATCCTCCCGAAGTGGACATAAAGTTGCGCCCTGATGTAGCATCATATCGACCCGTTAATGTTGCATTAATTGGAATACCCTGTTGATGGTTTAAACCTGGAGCTCTAAGAGTGAGTTCACTTTTCAAGTCAACAACCGCTGAACGATCAGTTGTGGTCTCAATGTTTGAAGGCCGTCTCTGATTCTATGTAATTCAAAGTTCGAAGGTACAGTTAAACTTTTGTGCAACAAAAACGACAGACAATTTTCTTCTTACCTGAAATGAGTCTTTCATGGTAACGATGGTTGATCGTCGACGTCCAGTTACAAGAGAGGAAGGAATTGTTAGTCCAAGTTCGGTTAAAGTTGCGACTGCAGGTTGAGTTCCTCTTCGACGACAAAATGAACACATCCAAAGCTATAAAGAAGCAAAATCGACAATAGAACATGAAAGACATACAAAGAATTCGAAGGAAAAAGAAGAATAAAAAACATCTCAAGGATAATGTAAATTCCATGCATATTTTATGTATTTCTATTCCCTGAGCACAATAATATTAAAGTGAATTCAATTTACGATAAAAATTACGAAACAAAAATCAGAGTAATTTTAATTTCTTTATGAATATTTAAGTTTGTTTGTTGGTTTTCGTCTTATTCCAATTTGTTGGACTTTTATTGTTTTTATTTTCCAAATTTCGAAAATGAAAAAAAAAATTATTTGCTAACCTTTTCCTTTGATTTATCAGAATAAGATGAACAATCTTCACAAATCGGCTCAGAACAAGTATCGCAATAATTGCAAACCTCAGTGGTCAGTATTTTCTTTCTACAGGTTCGACAATTACCAATAAGTTGAGCACTTGCTGAAGGTGATTGAGCTGTTGGTGAACTAATTGTGAGTCCATCTTTCTTGTCACTTGAATTAGTTTTCATTTGCCTTAGTTATCCATAGTTATGGTCAAGCAGAGCAAAAAAAAGAAAGCAAGTAAAAGTAAACATGAAGGACAAAATAATATTTGAAGAAATAGACAGAGAGAGAGAGAGAGAAAATCCAAGTAAAGATAAAATAAAAAAGAGTTCAGTTCAATTCAATTTACAAACAGAAAATAAAATCAGCAGTTATCACAAAAGAAAAGCAATATTATATTAATAACAAACAATCAAGTTGTATGAGAGATGTTGAGAGAGTTCGGGAGGGGTGGCCAGTAGAAAATTAAATTTAGGTTAGGTTTCCATTGTTAGAAGTGACCAAACATAAGATTCAGTTGAAGTTGGTCAAGTTGTTTGGTCAAGTTTGTTGCGAGGATTTAAGTTATTATTACCATTGTTATTGTATTTGATTGATAATATTAGTGATGAACAAAAATTGGGGAAGAAGAGAAAATTATAAATCAACAACATGGTTATTGTTAAATAGTGAATCAGTGAGGTGGTCAATAGGTTGACCAGGTAGTGGAAAATAAGAGGAAGAGGAAAGAGGGAGAGATAAAGTAGAAATCATTATATTGAACATAGTAGATTTAATGAGATGGTAACAGAATTTTCCATCAGAGTTTATGATCCATTGTCATCAGTAATTTTCCACCATCATCATCAAGTGATTATAATGATCCAGTGATAGTTTGATAATAATTTTTCCACAATTGATTATCATGATGACGATAATTAAAGGTGTCACATGGAATTGTGGATGTGTTAAATTTTAGAGAGAGAGAGAGAGATATTGATCAGAACTTTTATTCTGTATCAGAATCGATGAATAGTAGAGCAGAAAAGTAAACAATTTCGAAACTTTTTCGTATTTTCCTCATTCTTTTAGAACTTTTATTTAAATTTCTCTTTCCCTGTTTTTTTTGGTCGAATTTACCTAATCGTCATGATTACTGAAGAGTTAATTAACCATTCATCATGATTAATTGATAATTAGAATTAAAATTATGTTAATTAGTTTGATTTTAATAATTATCTTTTTTTTCCCTCTTCAATTCTTTCCATTCAAAATTCGAGAAAAATTTTACATTACAAAAGAGAAGAGAGAAAGAGAAAAACTTTTTTTACTTTCCGAGTTTCGATTGAATTAGTGTGCTGAACTTTTCTTGCTTTCATAGTGATAATTTGTCATCCTCATTAACATCATCATGTTTAACTGTTACAATATTTTTCTCTCCAAATTAGAACTTGAATCAATTTCCATTTGTCTAGAGATGCGAGTAGATTGAACATAGAGAGAGAGAGAGATCGAGTATATGATTTATTCAGATAATCATTAATATCGTATACATGGAGCATACAATTCATGATATTAGTTGGTTATTATGCTTAGTGTGTTCAGGGAATAAATTCACTCCCACTCAGTGAGTGTGTATATGTGTTTGTATAACTGAATAACCTCCTACTCATTTTGAAGAAATTGAAACAGAATTCAAATGAAAAAAAGAAGAAACTTTTTTTTCTATTACTTTTCTAACTCTTTATCCTCTTATTGATATTGATTATTAATTCAATCCGCATCCTCATCTTCAACTTATCCCTTTTAACTTGTTACTTTCATGAGTTCATATTGAAGATTGAGAGTAAGAGTAAGAGAGAGAGAGAGAGAGAGAGAGAAGATAGGAAAGAAAGAGGATGAGAAGCTGAGAGTAGGAACAGTAAAGATTATCTCCTGAAAGAAACTTTTGTTTCAATATATTGGATATTTTCCCGATTTCTGGTTGATTTTTTTTTTCGAAATAGAAAACTAATCAATCCAGAAAAACTTTATCATTTATCGTTTTTATCTTCAGGCTCATCTTTTATTTGCTTTCTCTTAGTAAGCTCTTCACACCAACAATATCACCACCATCATGAACACAGTAACAACCATTGAGACAAAAGTTGATTTTTAGATAGCACACAATTTGGTGTTTATTTTACCTTAAGAGATGCAGAAAAAAAGATGCTCAAGATGATAACGAAAAGATAAGCAGAGAGAGAGAGAACTGAAGGAAGATAGAATTTTTTGTATGCTCATTACCTCTCGCTCTCCCTTTTCCCCTATTGATCTTCCCTCTTCATGATTTTGGAATTTCATTAATAATTCTCATCTTAAGAACTCAGACTTTCGATATATCTTTCATTCATCTCTCTCTCTCTCTCTCTCTCTCTCTCTCTCTCTCTCTCTCTCTCTCTCTCTCTCACCTTGTAACTCCTATTCTCCAATCATTTATATTATATAAAGATAAACCTGAGTGAGTTTGATAATATCTCACATAGAAAAAAAGATGAAGATGAAAAGGTTTGATGCTAAGGAAGAGAACAGATCAATATTCAACCTTAATCTGATTTGATGCTTCACCAAATTTACTATTCTATCTACAACTTTATCTTCATCTTTAGCTTTACCTTCCCCATTTTCTTAAGAGTCTCCCCTGTATTCTAGATACAAGAAAAATAATACTCTACATTTTCCACCCTCCACACTCAGCATAAACTCCTCGTTCCCCCTTCACTGTGTGTATCTATTCAATTCAATAATACTTGTGAATACTCTTTATATTTTTCTCCATGGAAAAGATTATGTTAGAACTAAATTTTCTTTTCTCCTTCTCTTTTTACCTTAGGTCAATGTTCATATGGATGAAAAAGTAAAATTTTCATCATATTCAGATTTAATTCATTCCTCATGAGCTCAGATTCCAGTTCAATATATATTTTATCATTTCCTCTTTCTCATTCGGAATTCTCTCCCTCTTACTCTTTCTCGAGAAAATAATAATAATAATATTTATTTTATGCTTAGAACTTGAAAATTTATGGAAAATAAAATGATTTCATGATGATGATTAGAATGAAATGAAATGAAATCAAATCAAAGAACTGATAAACTTTCAATCTTTTTTTCCATGAGTTTGAGTTGAGAAAAAAACTGAGAGAAAGAACAAAAAATAATAAGAAAACTGTTCGATTGATAATAATAGTTTTATTAATGTTGAATTTGATTCCTCATGATTTAATGTTATCATGAACTTTTATTTCTTGACTCACTCACTCACTCTCTCTTTCTCTATCAAAAAAAGCAAAAAACAGTTTCCATGAATCAACCAGGGGATACATGGATAGAATTTTGAAAAATGAATGAATGATACATCTAATGAAAAGATTGATTAATTGTATTGTATATTCAATGATGTTCATTAAGAAATTACTTATAATTCAACCATGATGATGATGACGGATAAAAGTTTCAAGTTTATTTTCATTTTTCTTTCCAAAAGTTTGATAATCATGATAATAGGAAATTCTTTGTTTTTTTCATCTTTCTCACTCTACTTTTCACTTGGATGATTATTCAACATATGGAACTAAATGAAATTAACTCATGAAATGTTTACCTTTTCGATGAAGCTTCTCGGTGAAACTCTTCCTCTTTTTGGAAAACTTTTTGTAATATAAGCCTTTCCTCTTCCGTTAGGTGAGCGGTAAGTTGATCATTAGTAAGTGATGATTGGGATTTTAATTTTGGAAAAACGGAATTCTGATCATTTGGCCGACCATTTAATTGTACACTATTATTACGATGGCCACTTACACTTGAACGTCCACTGTTGGCACTTGTATTACCTCCTGGACCGAGTAGATTACTTGTTGACTGTGAATGAGATGAAAAATGAGGTGGTTCATTTTCACTGTTTCCATTTCCAGCTTTAAATCCTAACATTCTAGAGGCAACTTTATCACGAAGTTTATTAATTAAAGGTGAACTATCATCAGAATTGTGAAGTTTATTTAAGGTGGAAAGTGGATATGAATCATTGGACAGGGAGGATGATGATCTTCCTCTATCAGAACGATATCTTGATGAACTACGAAACGAGGAAGCACTTGATGGACGTTGTATCCTTGATGGACTATTATTGTACGATGAGACACCTGATGATGAAGTAGCATTTCGATTTCCCATAATTTTCCAGAATTTTGGTCTTTTCTCTCACTTTCTCGCTCTCTCTTTCTCTTAACCAAAATTGAGTTAAAATGATCAACTTATATTCTAGTTTCACTTTTTTCCCCTGTTTCTTAAAGAAATAAAGGTATAAAATTCAAGTTAGAGAAGAAAAAAGAACTTTTTTTATATAAAAAAGAAAAAACTTGAAAAGGGAAAAAAATATTCCTTCGAACTACCAAAAAAAAGAAACTAAATTGTTCTAATAGCTAAAAATGTACAACAGGTAATTCACTTTGCAACACTTGGTTTCCAACATTTTGCTAACAAATAAATGGCAAATTCATGGGTCACATGAATACTCTTGAGAAGCTCTGGATTCTGTCTGAAAAAATTTCGAAAACATCTTGGTGACACCTAGCGAACTCTCTTTGAGTTACAAGTTCGATTAGAATTATGAAACATTTCATATTATCAAGTTTATTAATATGTTGTTGCTCACATGTTGGATTTTATTGCTTGTTCACCAACACTCTCACCTACCTGTTCACCTCTGCATCTTGGATAATATCCAATGTTCCAAATGTTCTGCTTGGTGTTGCCATCTGGTGAAGCATTTATCAACTACTTCATTGATAACAGTTTTTCTTGTTTTTTCACACATTATTTCCCGATTAACACGATAGAGGGCTCGAACTTTCGAGTTTAACCTCAACAGCTCCTTTCATATGTTCAAGCGCTCTTTGTGATGCTCTCTCTCTCTCTCTCTCTCTCTCTCTCTCTCTCTCTCTCTCTCTCTTCTCTCTGTCTTTCCTTCTATTAGGGTAACAACCATTTCCAAATTTACCATCACAATGTTAATGTTATAAGTTCTACACAAAGAAGAAAAAAACTCATTCCAAGTTTTTTTTTATCGAACTCTAGATCAGTTTAGCATCGAATTTAAAATTCCATGTTTATTAACAGATTAAAAGTTCATTTTAAACATAATGTGATTCTTAATAGTTAAATAAAGAAACTCAATAGATTTATCGACAATATACAAAAACAGCGAAAAAAAGATTCCAAAGATTAATCAGTTTGATTTTTTCTTTTCTCTTTTCAAGTTTAATCTCCATGTGATTCGTGTTCTAAGTGATACTTTATTACATACACTTTCTCTCTCTCTCTCTCTCTCTCTCTCTCTCTCTCTCTCTCTCTCTCTCTCTAAGTGTTTATCTGTGTTTGCGAAAAAAATAATTATATAACTAAAGGAGCGTTTTCTTCCCGTTAACATAACCACCATGTCCTCGTTTCACCAACAATTTACATGGAAAGTTTTAACTGTCTACCTTTTCCTTTGTGTAAATGTTTCACTTTGCCTCGAGATTGATTGTAATCGTACTTATACCGGAACAATTGGTACAAAGTACCCTCTTTATCTTAAAGAGCCCATTCAAAAGTTTGCCGCTTTCAACTGTCAGGTTACATTTTCAGCACTTGGGTCAACTCATGGAGATATTATTGAACTTTCAATTCTTTCATTTCAAGTTGGCTATTTTCCAGTAACGAAGTAAGTTCACTTTGTAAATAATGATTTCTTTTTTTCCTTCACGATACGAACTCAGTGGGATTTATGAATTTTCATTACTTCATGATTGCTACAATCAGCAACTGATTGGTCACTTTGATAAATTTCTTGGATTCCTTTTCTCTTTGATTTGGATAATAATACTCTTATCATCTAAATCATCATCATTATTAACTAGCGAGGCTTTTATCATCATGAAATAATCAGAAAATGAGGTTAATATTTTCATTCTGTAATCAATCAAGTCTCTACTCTCTCTCGCTCTCTTTCTCTATCATTTATGTAATATTATGGATATTGTAACTTTTACTTTAGTTTATCATCATTATTAATGTTTGACAGACTTTCGATTCCAATGAATTCAACAGATTCATGGTGATGATAATGAACACATGATAACAGATGATGAGAATCATATTCTGATATCATAAGGATAACAAGATGTAATGTCAAAGAAAGAAGAAGAGAAAGAAAAGCAAAAAGCAAAGAGTTGTCATAATCTTCATTTATCACTAATATCACATGGAAATTAATCAAGAGCTTTAGATTATCATGATAATAAACATGATGATGACCAGTCGATGGGTAAAAAAAAAGAAAAGTGAACAAAAGAAAATTTCAAGCAAGTTCATGATGAAAATTCGATAACAAATGATAAGAAGATTTTAGATTATTTATCATCAAACAACTACAAGAATTTCAAGTTATCATATTTATTTCATGTTTCATTTATTTCTTGTTTTCTTTGCTTAGTATTTATAAGTTATGGTCACTTGAAGATGAAGATGATGATGATGATAAAGATAAGAGTTGGATTGGTCACTTTTCTTTTACACAATCGAAGAGAAATTGTCATACAGCTTATGATGAATGTTACTTATATTCCTTAATGTTTAGAATCTGTGTCGATATCAATTCATATCTATGGAAGTTCTGAGATATTGAGTTTGTGTGTCTCTTCATTCAGTTGAAAATTGTCAAACTCTAAGCTCAAGTTCAAATTGAATAGAAACATAAATAAACAGAAAGTTCATTGATAAAGGTGAGTGAGAGAGAGAGAGAGAGAAATATACAATCCTTTTATTATCATTTATCTTTTCATTCTTCATGATAAATTCATCCGAGTAACGAAATCACTTTATTAAACTTAGAATGCGATGAAAGAATCATACACAAATGAATCGCAATGAGTTTCGAGCAAATGAAAATTGAACTTTTCAATCTAAGGAATTCAATTTTCCTTCATAAAATTTCCTTCATCACTTTTTCAATCTTGAGCTTACTCATCTTACTCTAACCTATTCAATCACTTCAATAGTTACATGGAAAAAGAGAATAAAAGACAAAAAGGAAAATCAATTGACATGATAAGAAAATAGATTCTAAATGTAGATAAACAATCCAATTGAACTTTGAATTATTTATCCAACTTGTTCATCCAATGAATCAGAATCAATTGTTATTGTTTTTTTCCCACTTCTAAGATTATATTCACCTTGTTATCATGTTAGATTTTTTCACTAATCATGGAGAAAGCAAATAAACATCAACATCATGAGAAAAACAAGTAAGGTGATAAAATGATAATTTTCTCAATCTCATGTAATATTCAGATGAAATAAACAACAGAAATTCATGTAATTCAGTGATTATTATCAATTCTCTGACAAACAGAAAGTTAATGATATTTAATTTAATCATTCGATCATTAATTATAATGATAAATAAAACATCCCAATTACAATTGATATATCATAATATTAGCATTTGATATTGTCCTAATTTAATTAGTAAAATCATCTAATTATTATCAGTGTTCATTGAGAAAATTTTTAGCTTTTTGTTTGCTAATCACGAAAATGGTTAATTATTATTACGTCAATTAAATTTAATTGGTGAAACTTTTGTTGTCTTTTTTATTCTTCACACTTTTCTCTACAACAATTAGGCCTAGTAATTAAATTTAATTGTCTTATTCAACAGATTAAACTTAAATTTATCTTCTATTAAATCTTTATGATGTGATTAAGGAAAACTTTTGATGATAATAAACTTTAATGGCTACACAAAAATGACCAAATTACCGAGAGCAATCAATTGATTCATGGAAATTTAATTAATCGTTAAAAATTATTCCAAAATAATTACCTTCCTCTCTTAGTGAACATTATATTCATTTCACTAAAAAAAAGGAGACAGACAAATAGACAAAAGCATGGACAGTAAATGTCGAAAGAGAGAAAATAATATTTTCAAACTGTCTTTCAGTTTTAGAATAAAAAAACTATCATTACATTAGATAGATATAAATAACATTGACTTTAAATCTCAGTGGGATATCATCATGATGTTCATGGGATAATATTTATATATAGAGACTGAACTTTTGTTCAGGTTTGAAAGAGAGAGAGAGAGAGAGAGAGAGAGATAAATGAAGATAACAGAACCTAAAAAAAAGTTCAGTTCAGTAGTACGTTCATGTACATAAAGAAACCAGAGATGAAGTAAAAAATCAGCTAATATGATAAAAAGTACAAAAGGATAAACAATAATATATTTCAACTCCCACACCACATTACCCACTCCCACCTCCTACTAAATCACCATTATCCTTCACGATGCCTCCCAGTATCCATTGTTTATCATCTCTCTCCATTTAGTTTTCTTTTATCATCACCAACCATTATCATTATTGTCATCAAATTCAATCGGCTAAAAGAGTAATAAAAAAAGACAGAATTGATAATTTCCGCTCTTTCCTGTATCTTGGTGAGGTTTTTTACTCCATCCACCCTGCCATAAGTTTCCTGTTATAAAGGTTTTAAATTTCATTTTTCAATTTCTAATTCAATTGTTAACACAATCAAATTTTGGATGACGATGATGATAATTTCTCTATCCCTCCCTCACTTATACCTATTATTTAATCTTTACACTCGGCAGTGGGTTTTAAATTTTACATATTTTCCTCCTTCAACCAAATCCATTTCCCATTCTCTCTCCTTAATATTATTTGTCATAATCTTTTACACGGTTATGATCATTATTTATTTTACCGTTTGTTTGATTTGTCGCACAATATTATTAATAATGTATGTATTCATGGAGAATTGCAATTAGTTTGTAAATACAGCATCATTCAAACCGCTCGAACCTTTAATGTTAGAAAAAAAGTTTCAATTTATCATTTCTCTAGGTTTCCGTTTCAGTGGGTGGGTAGTTGAATTGTTACAATTGTGATTTATATTAAATTTTGTGATAAATTTGATTCTAATATTTAATGTGAAACAAATTATCAAATGACAGACACACAAATTATCATAGTGATTGATTGATAAATTGGTTTAAAATTATATGTATTGAGTTAAATTTAAAGAGCTGATATTAATAAATATCAGTTTTATTTTCTTCAGGTAAAATTAGCTATTTGTTATCATGGCTTGTTAGTAGTTGGTCAGACACGATCAGGACCGATAGTCGATAGTAGCATAAAATGTATACCTCAAATATCAATGTCACTTCCACTCCACCCCATTTAAAATAGCGCACACGCATCATTTGACTCGGCTGTTTATTGTCTGGAAGTTTATTTGATATGCTTAAAACAGCTAATTTATAGTCTTTTATTTAAAAAATTACTACGTAAGACATACTTGTTACTTTAATCTTTAATGTGATTGGTTAAAACTTGTTTGTTTAATTTGAACATTTATAACATAAGATATTATCGTTATCCAAACAACTATCCGTTTTGCACACAGAGCTATTCGGCTATTTTTACCGATGATTTTTGCGATATTCTCAGTAACTAAGAGTTGAAGAGACTCGAGACTTGAGTGGTACAAGTTTGAGCGATATTCAATTTTCATATTGAAAGATCAAGGTCATTCAGGTCATTGTTTAAAGAGAGCGTTTCAAGGTCATCTGAAGGTAATTCAACAAAAAAGAATGTTCAGAGCTACTAATGGCAATTAAACTGTAAAATCTCAAGAACTGTGACAACAGGAATCTCTCAACTCATTTCCAAGGGCTGAAAATGTGCAGAATAGCACCTTCAGATGACCTTGAAACAATTTTCTTGGACTTCAACTTTCTGGGATGGAAGTGGCATTGATATTGAAGTTAAGATTTAATTTTATTCTAAGATATCAATACTGGACCAGCTTTATGGGTCAAATGTTTTTGGTGACTTTTTTAGCGCCAAAGCCAGCTCATTGTTCATCTGTCAAAGGTTAATCAGCTATTTTTCTTGACAGTCATTTGCTATGAGCCATAACAATGATGAAACAATAGCTTTATCCTCTTGCAACACTCTCTCTGGTATTGATTCAATAGTGTATCAATATTCATAGATCTTGAATTGTCATGACATTTAATATAATCTTTATTGTTGGATTAATCTCAATATCTTAAGTAGGAGTTTTTTTCTGATGATAATTCACTTCAACTTTGATGAAATTCTGAGTTTTTATGGGTCCAGTTATACTATCCAATCGGTAGATGGGGTTTAATGGTAGTTTTAAAGTTGATTGGAAGTTGGAAAGTGTTGGTGTATAAGTGAATCTGTCTTCATAATCGTGTAGAGGATCAAATTGATCCCTCTCAAAATTTTGAAATCGGATTAAATCTTCCAACATCATATCTCATTCTGTTTTTTTACTTCTCGATCTTCAATCATCATCATCATCATCTCTCTTCTTTTAATCCTCTCCTTTTTATCTCCCTTGTTCCCTCTGGTGTATGTTCATCATCATCATCGTGAGAAGAGAGATAGTTTTAGAATAGAAATATAAAATTGGAAACCTTTAGACTTTTAGAGAAATAGTAATGATGCTAAATGAAAGGTTTTTCTTTTTCACTCCCAATTTCCACTCTCTCATTCTCTCTGAAAGGGAGGATAAAAAAGATGAAGAAATGATGATGATGATGATGACCATGTATTAGAACCTAATCTGATTCTAATAAGCTCAATTCTAAGGACTAAGAAGCATAAAGGATAATATCTAACTATGAATTCTTTATACCATCATCATGAATAAGAAGATGAAGATATAAATATCTAAGCTTTATTATTGTTTCCTCATGATGAGAAAACTTTGAAATTCAAATGACTATCATAACGATATTGATTTTAACTTATGATGACCAATGGTCATGATTAAAATACAAAATCTAAATCATTGAATTACCATAAAGCAAGTAAAATGCTGTTGATTAAATAGCTAACCAACTTATAAAAGTAACTAATTAACTTACATGTATAATCACTAATCAATAGACTAATCAAGCTTTTCTGTTTGTTTTCTTGTTTTGTTTTACAATTATTTACTTAAATTTAATATATTTAACTAATTATTATCAACATGAAATCTCATTCAAACAAAATTAAAACAATAAAAAAGGATCATAAATTCAAAATGATGAATTATCTGTTCAAATTTTAACCTCCCTGTAAATGTATACCTTTAATAATATGCTAATTGTTTCAACTTCAATTATGTGTACACATTTGATTAACTGAAATGGAAAGACAAAGATGAAATTTCAAAAGTTCTGACGTATCATTGTAATAATTAAAATAATTATCATGGTAACATGATAATGAAATTGCCTCGGGGAGTTTTGAACAAACAAAAAATCATAATTCACAAAGTTTATTATTCAAATTATCTAACACTGTTATTATATTATTTAATTTTATTCATTTTCATGGTGATAATTAGTTGGTGACTCATTGATTTTCATGATATGATGACAATTTTCAACTTATATTACATATTTAAAAGTGAACTTTATTTTATTAGTAAACATTAAAGTTTTTTTTATTTCAATTTCAAAGAGTAATCAGAAAATAATTCAACGGTTTTCAATGGTAATCGGTTTATCCTGGTGTATCTAACACTCTGTTCATTATCACCATGAATAGTTTATGATTTCCAGGTACGGGAATCAGTTCTGAAATCATTGATAATGTTAGTATTATTATTATCAGCATCATCATCATGGTGAAAATGATTATATAAATAAAATCACATAACCATAATCATGAAGTATAATAGGAAATTCATTCCCACTGAGTTCATGTATCTGAATAAATATATACTTTTATTATCCATTATTGAGACTGAATTTTCATTCAGAATTATATAAATACAGAATTTTTCAATTCTTTTGTAAAGGTAAAAGAAAAAGTCTCTAATCACAGTTTATTTTCAATCTTCTCTTTTCAACTTACAGGGAGTTTCCAGTCTGCGAATATGGTTATGTAAGAATTCATGAGAAACAGATCAAGAAACCTGCCAATGTATCATCATCTTCATCTTCCCCACTTTCTGAAGCTTCATCATCACAACCATCATCATCATCATCTTCTTCTTCTTCATCATTTTCCTCACAAGCGATACCTTCAGTTGCAGAGAACTCAAATGTTGGCAAATTTTGTGGACAACTAATGGTAACATTTCATGAGATTTTTCCACCCTCTCCTTGAATTCCCACTACTGTTCTTACTCATCATCATCACCAAATTTTCTATCGATATCAATAATACTCTGACTTCCCAGTTCTGTAACAATTTGTCAATGAAAGAGACAAATGTGAAAATATTTGCAAGCGAATACTTTCAACACATTTTTTCATTAATGAAAAATTTTTCTCCCTCAAAATATCTCAAACACTTTGCTATCTATTCACATCGGAATTCTTGAAATTGAAACAAAAGTATTATCATGATAAAGTTGTGAGACTTTCCCTTCAGCATCATCATCAATTATCGAGTGATAGACTTAGAGAACTCCAAGAGGAATGTTTCATTTTTATATAATCCATTCACATTTCTTCCAAATGGACAATCATTGTATCAGAGTCTCATTCTCACCAACTTGCAAAAATGGAGAGAGAAAAATGCAACTACTATCATTTACTTTCGATTCTTTTCATTGTCATGTTCAACATTCATTACAAAAGAAGTTCAAAGTAAAATAGAACAATTTTTTTCTCTCTTTTCTAATATCTGTTGCTTCATCTTCACCATAGTCTCTTATGTCCATTTGATTTCTCTCACCATAACAGCTTATTAGTTTATTCAGTTCATTTCGAAAGATTTTCCACCCATAAGGTTATCACTGTGTGTGAGATTATTACAATCCACTCAGTTGTCAAACTTTATCCACAGAAAATATTTACAGTTAATCCTTGTCCGTTTACCGAAAAAAGGGTTGAAGGTATATCATGTCTTGAGATTGATTAATCAACATTTGCTAATCCAATTTGAAAGAAACTGTCAATCTTATATCGTATTGGTGATTTAGAGACTAAGAGATAAATAATTTATTTATTATGTATCAATCTGATTACTAATCTATTGCAACTATTGGACAATAATCAACTAATTCAGTAATCAGAAATTATTTTATGACCTTAATGCTTTTTTCCACTGAAACGGACTATGGATTTAGTTTGTTGTTGCTTTTCAACATGAAAGGATGAAGATAAAAGGAAATTACAGAATTCATTGTGTGGAAACAAAAAGCGAAACAAATGAACAATTGATTCAGTCTTTTGAATTCATACCATGAATGTTATCATAGAGAAAAAGAGTAGGAAGAAGATGTAAAGGGATGATAAACAGGAAGAAGAAATACAGAAAGAGAGAGAGAGAGAGAGAGAGAGAAAATGATAGCGAGGTGAAGATGATGGGTGGTGGTTACATTTTCTTCTGAAATTTCTGCCATGAACCTTGAATTCTTTCTCCAACTAACTGTCCATTTGGAAGCAATGAAAATGAATTACACGAATTTTTAGAATTTAAAATGGAAAATAAAAAGAAAAAAATTACCATGAAATGGAAGCCAAGGTGTTTATTCATCAGTCCCATCAACTTTTAGAAATACTCTTGATATTAACATGAATATTTTCGACTCATTGTTTTCCTACCTCACTGACTAATGATAATTTAGAAAAGAAAAGAGGATAAAGTTCATCAATCGTAAAACTTATTGATTAATGAAAAACTTCAAAGAAGAAAAGTTCAGATTTTTCAACAGATTGAATTCCAATTCTTATCTGTGAAGTTTTATTATTAGTTTTTTTCTTACTCTTTCTTTCAAATTGAACTATTATCACCAACAACTATCATGATGAACTGAGGAGGAAAAAAAATTATTATTATTATCCAATGAATACAATAGGTATGATAGCAAATGAATGACTCTGAACAATATCAATATTGAAGAGGGAAATGAGGATGGAAGTGGGTTCGGTGTTTCTGAATAAATCTGTTACCAGAAGATATTCAATTTAATAAATTAGTCTTGTTCTTGCCTCGAGTTGAAACTCTTTCCCACTCTTACAACCGGCGCAATGTAATTTGCACCCTTCGGTGTGTTAATGTAATAAGTATCACTCCCAGTCTAATACCCTAGTCATTGATTTTTCTTGCTACTAAATCTATTGAATCAGTTTTATCGTTGAAACTCATGTTGTTCTGAGGGAGCAGGAAAAAAGTTCCATATCCCCCATTCAACCTCCTTCTATTCCTCCTTCTCATTACTTCCTATCTCTTAGTATATATATTGATATCATAATTTGATAATAATCTGATATATGATTTAGTAATTGATGCTCTATCATCATCAACGTAATTCCAACAATTTAACTTTCATTTATCATTATTATTTAACAATTAGAGGTTATTCTTGGTTGGAAAAGAGAAAAAAAATTTTTTTCTTCTTCTTGATGAACAGAACTTTCTCTTTTATTCATCGAGCTATTTCATCATCATGAATATCATTAACTAATCATCAGGGATAATTATTATGTAATTTTCATTATAACTTTGAATGAAATTCAATCTATCACAATTAACGACCTTAAGTAATCATATTTTTCTCCCTCTTCTTTTTGTTTCATTATTAGAGTAAACCTTTTTTCCCTTTTCTATTTGATTTCAATGAGTCTCAATTGTAGTTGAGTTTTGATGAAGATTTCATGATGAATTGATTTCAATCCCATCGAGGGTATGATATATTTCTCTCTATATATATTTATGCGTATGTGTACACCATGAGTTGAATTGTCTTTGTCTAGTGTTAGTATTTCATGAGGTTGATTGGATTGATTAATTCAATAATCGGTTGACACTTGATGGTTTCTACTCTGATGGAATTTTAATTTCACTTATATTTCCACTCCCAATAAAGTCCTCCAACATAAAGGTGAAAAGAGTAGTTGAATTTTATCATCTTCATCGTCATCCTCATCTGATTAGTTTTAATTTGAACCATCTTTTTAAATTCTAAGCTTGTTCTCTTTCAAAACCACCAGAATCACTTTTCTATTTCAATTGAATTATCGTGAATGACTTTTGAATGAACAAAATTATCAATACCCTAAGTATGCGGAAATCGTTGGTTAGTGATAAATATAAAAAGCCACAAGGAATGAAAATTGAATCAAATTCTGATGATTCAATTTGTAAGCCTTAAGAACGAAAAAAAAAATTCAATCTAATATTTATATATCATGAAATGAACAACTTTTAATATTGAAGAATTAAATTTGGATTCTAAGAAAAAATATTTTGCTTCTAATTGATTTACTTGATAAATATCAACTCGAAATCATCAACAAGTTTCATTTCTTTGATTATTCATGCTTATCTCATGTTGCTATTATATTATACATTATATTATGTTAAACGTTGAGAATTGACTTTAACAGGAATTGATTGAATGTTTCTAGTCGATCATTAATTGTTCATGAAATGGATTCTTATCATGTTGCCTCAAGTATATTCAGAGGTTATAATATTATATTGGAATAAAAGAAGGAAAAAAAAGTTATACAGGAAAAGTAGTATACTGATAGTAAATGTATTACACTTTTACAGTAGTTGGTATATTGCTATTGAAGAGTTGAGACTTTGGGGAAAGAAAAAAGTTCATTATCATGAAGACTAAGGAAATTCAGGAAATCTTGGTTGATTAAACAAAGGCTAAGGTACATTTACTTATGAGGCGATAGAGTTGATTGTTGTTATTGATTGTTATCATGATCATTTTGTGAGATGGTAACATCAATTAAAACATGTTAATCAAATGGTAACTAATCAACTAGAGTTAACTATCTGTCTGTGGAAACAAGTAAAACTTTTACACTTTTTTTGTTTCTTGCTGTTGACCGGTTATTTGTTATTGTTGTTATTTCTGGTGATGATGATGATGATAAAGGTTGGATATTGGAGGAGGTGATGATGGTGGAAGAGTAATAAAATAATAGGAATGTTGTATTCTGCAAGATTCTGTTATTATTGATTCTGTGTTCAATCAAAATGGTTAATGGTGATTGTTGGGGTTAATTTGTCACGGAATTGAAAGAGAGAAAGAGAGTGAGTTGTAGAAGGAGAAAAAAGTTCTGAAGATGAGATGAGAGTTGAGTGAAGGTGATGATAGATAAGGTTCAAGATGTTACTGTTAAGAAATGATCACCATCATCCAGGGAGAGTCCAGAGAGAGAGAGAGAGAGAGAGAGAGAGAGAGAGAGAGAGAGAGAGAGAGAGAATGCTAAGAAAAAGTTAGCAGTGTCAAGAGTATTTTCGAAGTGGAGAAAAAAAAGTTCCAATAATAATATTGATGGTTTATCGTTGTTCGATCTTCATCCATTACTTTTTTTCACTCAGGATTTCTTCACATTTTCATGATGATAACCATCATCTTGAAAGATCAAACATTATTTTATTCTTTCCATCATCATCTTTCTCTCTCTCTTTCTATCCTCCTTTGTCTTCTCACCTCCAATTGATATTAGCAACTATGATACTGTTACCGTTAGAATTTGTTTGCAAAAGTTTACACTCTAGTTTAAAGCTTTTGTTAGGCTTAAGGTATTAGGAAAAACAAAGTATCCAAAAAGGAAGGATAAAAGATGATGCAAAAATCGTGAATCATGAAACTGATTCTTGAGATATATTTTATTGAATATCTTTGACTTTCATGATTAAATGTTGAGTTTCAGTGGAGAAAAGTTCGACCGCCTAAAAACAACATTGATTTTAGCAAAAGCAAACAGAGGAAAATGTTATTTTTCCTTCATCATCCTTCATCCTTCATCATCATGATCTTGTAACTGAAACCTAAACTTTTCACCGAATCACTGAATAAACAGTGAATGTGTAAATGAACCAGAATTTTGAAGCGGAAAAATATCATATATATTTAGGGGAGGGAACGATAAAAGTTTTAAATGAAATAACAAATTGTTTTATGCTAATCAATTCAACTTTTTGAATTGAAAATTTTCCCTTCTTCCTCAATTTACACCATTGGAAAAACTGGAAACCGTAGTAGAATCAATGTCACCATTTATATATCGTCATTAATATAAATATAAAAGATTTCTGATTCTCTCGCTGAATCTGACAGTTTTGATTATCATCAAAGTCTCAATGATGAATAT